GTGAAACCCAATGGAACGCCATGATCAAAATGGGCGAAGGATTGGATTCCATGGACACTTAGAACCTGGGAAGGCTGGGTGGCCAGGTACATGGCAGCTGCTTAGAAATCAACAGGAGAGACAGCAGGTACAGAGGTGACGGCAAACCAGAGGGAGCTGAGCTGCCTCGGTCTGTGGGGATGGGAGCTGCGCCCGTCACCAGACACCCGGGACGACCACCCGAGGGCTATGCGTAAAGGAGCAACAGCACCGCACTGTGGCGATGCTCTGTGTCGGGAAGAGGACATCAGAATGACCTTGGGGACACGATTTGACATCACCTACTCAAAATGAAAAATGTATTTACTCCCAAATGCCACTTCCGGCTATATATATGCAACACAAATGCCTATGTGTGTGTATCAAAGACACTCACCGTGTTACAGCCCAAGTATCTGTCCACAGATAAATACCTGCATAAACATGTTAAGGCATCTTCCTACAGGGAGCTCTATACAGCCCTGAAAATGGACCAGCATGATGCAGCACTCTCAAAATCAAAATCATAAGCAAAGGTAAACAGGCGCAGAAGAATACATATCTCTGACTCCATTTATATAAAGTTTTTTAAAAGGGGACTAAAGCCTTGAGCACAGGGATGGATGTCAGCGCAAATGGCCGAGGCTGCCCAGGCTGGGCAGCCCAGCGATGTGAGTCCCCACCTCCAGCTCCAGGGGTCCCATCCTGTGAGAGCCAGTGGGGATGCAGGAGGAGGGCGGTCACCAACACACAGAAGAACGCGCCATGCTGAGAAGGCCCCTCCCGCCAAGGAGGACGGCTGCAAGGTGCTCCAGATGGAACCTCGAGGGTCCCCCGCTTGTGTGTGGAGCCATAACTCCCAACACCATGTGGACTCAGCAGGTGCCCGGGTCATGAGGGTGGGGCCCTCGTGCCTCAGATTAGCGCCCTTCTGAAAGAGCCCCGGGGAGCCCCTGTCCCCTCTGCCAAGCAGGATCCCAGCAAGGAGATGTTGCCGATGTGACCTTGGGTCTCAGGAGAAGTCAGTCCTGAGCAGGCCCAGGCCAAGGGGCCCATGCCAGAGACTGGCCCCCGTGTACTTGCTAGCTTTCCTCCGTCCAAGCCAGCCCTACTCAAAGTCTTGATCCTCCCACCTCAGCCTCCTCGGTAATGATTATTTGGAAGGCATTGAAGAGATGAAGGGGGTGATAATCACGAGGGGACCTGGGGGGAAAAACCAGTCCATTCCAGACTTGGCTGGCAGTGTAATGTGTGAGAAATTGCTGCACGTTCGCTGTGTCTTGCACTTTGCTGTTATATAAGTTCCAAATGTAAAAAGCTTGAATTATTAATCCATGACACTGTTAAGTTATAAGATTAAAATAATTCTGGAAAACATGCATGGGTCTATCAGTCACGTAGCTAGTGGTTGAATGTTTAGGGAGTTCTGATTCTACACCCCAGAGGTCGGGTCCCACTGGACTTTGTCCTCTGGGGCCTTGGCCTCCCAGGGGCAGCTGCTGCTGCCTGGTTCCCCCAGCGACCCTGACAGTGTTGCCAAGGGAACAAATCACAAAAGGATGCTGGTGCAGCCCTCACACACTGAGATGTAAAAATGACCTCAGGACATCTGAAATTCAGATTTAACTGCATATCCTGTTGGGTTGCTTTGTCTGGTTTGTCACTGTCGTTGTTGTTTGCGGCAGCAGGATTGAACACAGCACCTCCCCCTGACCTTCATCCCCAGCCCTTTTTTATTTTGAGACAAGATCTTGCTAAGTGGCCAAGTTGCCCAGAGTGGGCTAAAATCAATGACCCTCCTGCCTCAGCCTCCCAGAGTGCTGGTTTCACAGGTGTGCACCACCACACTGGGAGAGACAGCCTGTATTTCATCTGGTGACTCCGTCCCAGGGAGGCTTCAGCCCGCCTTGAGGACACGGGGTCCACAGCCCTGGTCCTGCTGTGTGGGTGCTGGATCGCTGAGCCCTGGGGCTCGAGGTCTCTGTGGGTTCTGTAGGTGCACTCCCTGGGAGAGGGTGTGCTCTGCAATGTCTGAGCTGTAGGGGGGCCCAGAAGGGTCAGTTTCCCAGCACTATACCCAGGCCCAGCCTCCACTTCCGCTCCAACCCTTCCTTCCTCTTCCCAGCCCCCCCCCATGTCTAAGGGTCCGGAAGGACCATGAGATGACGCCCATGAAGACAGAGGTGATGGGGAGCACTCACAGTTCATAATGTCACGACGGCTGTGTGGATAAAAACTTCAACACAAGCCTGGTGTGGTGCTGCACACCTGTAATCCCAGCCCTCTGGGAGGCTGAGGCAGGAGGATCCCAAATTCAAGCCCACCCTGGGAAATTTAATGACTTAGTGAGAACTTGTCTCAAAACAAAACAAAGCAAAAATAAAGGGCTGGGGATGCAGCTCAGTGCGAGGGCCCTGGGTTCTAGCCCCAGTACAGAAAATAAAACCAAACCTGGTACAGAACCTGTTGTCTAAAATACAGTTATAGGGCTGGGGATTTAGCTCAGCGGTTCGGTGGCGTGCCTTGTAAGCGCAAGGACCCGAGTTCAATCCCCCCCCAAAAAAAAACAAAAACAAAAAACAACAACAACAAAAGCAAACAACAGTTACTCATAAACATCCCGTGGCTTTGTGCTTTGCTTTGCAGGAAAAGTGTGATCACGGAAGAAAAAGAACAAATCCCCCTGATAACCCAGCGATCTGCAAGGTCGGAGCAGGTGGCTGGGCGGCCCAAGGTCCGCGAGGCTCTTCCGCCCCCTGGTGGACGGCGGCCCGCAGGTTCGCGAGCTCTGGCTCGGTCCGGCGCGGGGCTCCTCTCCTGAGCTGAGTGCTGCCGCAGGTCCTGGAGGTTCCTGGGGCTGGGGGGTGGGGGCGGCTCCACATCGGGCCCACACGGAAGCCGAGTCCTGCCAAGTCCTCGTCCACACCCACCCGCTGTGGTTCTGTCCCGCCTTCAACGCTGGGTCCTGTCTAGACCTAGTGACAAGACAGGAGGTCCTGTCACCCAGGAGGAGAAGCACCACACGCGCATCCGACCTCGGAAGGCCTTGGAAGGGCTAAATAAGAATGTCCTATGCCTGAAGACCAAAACATTTTAAAGGAATTTCTTTCTTCTTGGTTTGTTTTTTGTCTTGGTTTTTTGTTTTTGTTTTGTTTTGTTTTGAGGCAGGGTCTCGCTGGCCTTGGACTCACTACGGAGCTCAGGCTGGCCTTAAAATCATGGTGATCCTCCTGCCTCAGCCTCCCAAGTGCTACTATTACAGGCATGCACCACTGCGCTCAACTCAAAGTACTTCTTAAAACTTCATTTTCTTTTCAACAATGCCTTTTCTCTTACTGCAAAATCCTGTTGTCCACATCAGATCTTGACTTGTTCTCCTGGGGTTCCCTCCCCCCACCGGCACCTCCTGGGCACAGGGACCCATCTCCCGGCCTCCCCTGCGGCAGGGTGTGGCCAGGTCAGCCTGTCAAGGGCTGGCACCACCCACCTGCGTGTCTGGGCTCTGCCCAGGCCCACCAGGTCCTACAGTCAGGGCCACCTTTCTGCAGGGCCTGTAAGAGAAACGAGGCCAAGGCCCTGGAGGTGGAAGCTTGCCTGCCTCCCTTCAGCTCCTAGCCAGAGCTTGTGACCCCCCCTTCCCTCAGTCCTCCCAGTCCTGTCTGTCACCTGTGGCCACCTCCAGGGTCCCCGAGCCCTCCCGCCTGGCCACGCTCCTTGTTCTGCATCCTCAGACCCTTTCTGCAGCTGAGCTTGGTGATCATTGCAAACTGAGACTCTGATCTGTACCCAGACTCCCCTGACCACAGGGACCAAACCCCGCGCCACAGAAAAGCGGGGTGTGGACACCAGTGAGAGGGGGAGCTCAGCGCCAGGGAGCAGGACTTGAGAGACAGGAAGAAAAGAAGACCAGGCCTGGGCCACCCCACCGCTCCTGCAGCCACAGTCTCTAACCCCTTCCTCTCTCCTGACTCAGCTTTTAGTGTGTTTCTCAACTGCCACCTCCTCGAGGGACCCTAAACCCCTAAAGGGCTCAAATCCCCCAACATATGCTTTCATCAGGCCTGCGGCACTCTCAGTAGTGATCCCTGTAGCTGTAATTTCACTACAGACTGAGCAGTTATGTGGTTCCTCACTACTTGATTAGCCCGGCTTGACTCTACCCCAGGGCCTTTGCACTGTCCCTTCCTGGGCCCTCACATCAATCTGGCTGTCCCCCTTCCGTGTTTTTCTTCAAATTTCACCTTTTAGGTGGGGACTTGTTAACAACCGAATTTAAAACAGCAACACGGTTCCCTCTCCTGGGCCCAAGCTCTCTGACCCCTTTCTCCCGAAAGTTATCTTTTAAAAGTTTTTATCTTCCAATGGCTAAGCAAACATTGTGTTTATTGAGCTCGTGATGTTGTGCATATGTACACGACCAAGTGGCTAAATCATTAACATGTGCATCATCTCACATGCTTTCTTGTGCTGAGAACTTTAAACCCCTCCGCAATCTTCAGGCCCAAGTGCGTCGTCCATCACAGCCGCCGGGTGCACAGCGCAGCTCTTGAATTCAGTACCCTCCCTGGAAGTTCTTCAGGGAAGCAGCTATCTCCTTTCCAGCTATGTATTCCGCCTTGCTTAACACGCATCTTTGTCCCTAAAACGTCGCTCCACCGGGCAGGGACTTTGCGGTCCCTGCTGCACCCCCTAAAAGAGTGGCTGGTGCAGCGCGGGTCTGGGCGGCGAGCAGGGAGCGCCCGGCCGCTT